GGGGGGGGGGGCTCCTCGAGTGCTGCTGCCTCGGGTCTCGCTGATTTTGTTGATAGGAGGTTGGCGGGACCTCTTCGACCCCTCTTATTATCCCGTTTGGCCGCGCTCAGCGGGCCTCCTACGCACTAATCTCCCATTTTTTTTTATCAAAAAATATCCGGGGTCCAGCGATCGTTAACATGCTTGGGGGCGGCCGAGGCGAAGGCACGCGATAAAAAGCCTCCCGAGCACCGGAGTGCGAGGCACGGATGGCCAGGCTCGCCACATCGGCGCGCTTAGCCGAGAAAATTATCTCGAATTATCAGCCCACGCAATCGCTCATCTTGGCTGGGCCCCCTGAGCCCCGTTAATTAGGGGCGTCGAGGGCCGCTCGAGCAGCGTCGATGCAAATTACGGGATTTGACTGCGATACGTTCGATCGCCTCGAAATTAATTGCACGCCGGGGGATGTTTACCTCGGTACGGACTTTTGTACCATGTACTTTCATTGGCACCCGAGGCCACGTAACCAACCATCACGACAAACGCATATTCTGCATTACCGACGCTTGATAGAATTTAAGATTTAAGCTTTTTTTCGTTGCCAACAACGTCGACAAGATGGAGAAAGCGTTGAGCGTGGCGGTATGACGAGGGGGTAGGAGGAAGCACGTACGCGAGGACGAAACGCAAGCGGGGATTTCTTTCTTATCCCTTTCTTCATTTTTCGTTGGTTGACGAGAGTGGGTAAAGACAATTTAATAGCGCTATGCCTGCAATTAAACTTGGCGCAATGCAAGGAATGTGTAATATCTACCAAGTATTTCGTCATCCTCGCGATGTATTGCAAATTGTCGATAAATCAATGTTTACTCCGCTCTTACGCGCTTCTTTCGTGCCGAGTAAGAACCACGAGGGTGGGCGGGCGAGATGGAGAGAGGTGGTTTCTGACCAGCAAACACGAGGGAAGTCGGAGCGGGCGCTGTGACTTGTGGGTGTTGCTCAAGAGTCGGGAACCCCAGGACCTTGTCGGCCTGTCGCGTCCCTGTTACCGTGCACTACGTCATCTCTCGCGCTAATGTCATCGCTCCCGCGTTAATCTCTCGATTCTCCTTGGGCCGATGGCCGACGGCACCCCTGCGGCTCCTTATTTGCGCACGAGCGCGCGCCTTTTTCTTATCGGGCCGGCTGGTTTTACGGGTGGCGGCGCACACCGTCGCGTAATTATCTTTGCGCAATTCGCCAATCTGGCTGGCCGATGTGCTGTGTAGCGGCGAGTGAGTGCCCCGAGGCACTCTTTTATGCTTATTCCGAAGTAAGCGGGCGGCGCGTGCTGCAACTGCATTTGCGCGTAGAACGCGAGATGACGGAAGGTGGGGCGAGAAAAAGAAAGAAGGGAATCGCTCACTTATCGCGTCCAGTCTTTTTCGAGGCGCGAGACACGTTATTGCGCGCGCGCGCATGCACGTACGCTCGCTCGGCCGCGGGCCTTTCGTAATAAGCGCAGCGGCAGGCAAAATGGATACGTAAGTGAGCCGCTCGTATTGGAAAAATTATTATGACAGATGCAATGCCACGCGCACGCATTCGCAACAAGGCGTCACTCTCGCGAGCAATCGGCTGTGAACAACGTCACTTAGAAGCGCGCGCGCTTACACAGAGGCACAGGCACGCACGGGTATGGTCACGTAGAGAGTCGACAGACTCGGCGCTTTCAGTCCTAGCGCAGTGCTCGCGCGAAATTAACAATAATGAAGAAAAAAAGGGTGGGAATGGGTTGAGGACGTGTGAGGGAAGAGAGTGAGACAGAGATAGATAGATAGATAGATAGATAGATAGATAGAGAGATAGATAGATAGATAGATAGATAGATAGATAGATAGATAGATAGATAGATAGATAGATAGATAGATAGATAGATAGATAGATAGATAGATAGATAGATAGATAGATAGATAGATAGATAGATAGATAGATAGATAGATAGATAGATAGATAGATAGATAGATAGATAGATAGAGAGAGAGAGAGAGAGAGAGAGAGAGAGAGAGAGAGAAAGAGTGAGAGGAAAAAAGATACGAGAAAAAGCAGGCACTGCGCACACGTTATAACACCACGAGTTAATTTTACTAATATTGGTAATGATGAGAGTGAGTCGTGCCAGCGGGTAATAAAACTGAGTCACGTTGCCACAATACGTGAGAAAAGCCTGGATGGAAATCGTTGGCAAAAAATCGTCCGATTCGTTTAATTATGACGGCCAGAGGTTGCGTCTTGCAGGCGCTTATCAGGCCGATCGGCATTAAGCGACTATGAGGTGAAACTCTGCCTTCATGGGATTGAAGACGCGGCCTTTCGCAACGCATCTGCGGCAATGTTCTCATCGCTTTCCATGAATTTTATCAATGCGCGCTTGCGCAATGCCAGTGAGCGAGGTGCGCTCGTATCAATGAGCTACGCCTGCCAATCGGCGCCGATTGAAATCCAATCGAGTGGAAGCCGGTCGATTTGCGTGCGTGCGAGTATCGATAGAGCGGGTGGACAGCGCGGAATGGGAGGGGGGGTGTGCAGAAGACGAGGACCTTTAGATAGGACGTATCACTGTATCGATTGGTAAATCGCATTACGTTTCACGTCCATTAGGATCATATTCGTGCATGGACCAAATGCGGAAATCCCTGTGCTCCATGTGCCGCCCTAACAATGAGTTTTGCCTCTTTTTTAATAGCAGTGGCGGACCTTATATGGTGACGATAGTTCTTCGAGTAAAGTGTACGTTGAGGGGGAGGGGGGAACCGATACGGTGTCACATTAGCAGAACTAAAATTCCAATTATTAATTACGAATTCACGTTCGATCTCCGGTTCGTTGTTATCGTTGCTTTCTTCAAATTCGACTATATCTTGGGAGCGAGAAGTAAATTGTATAATATCGCATTACCGATGGATCCTATAAATTTCGTTGTTTGAAAATTCAAATAGAAAAATGTCGAAGCAAATGGCATGTGAGCGAGGAGGGGGTCCGAGAAATTTGATTACAGCAACACATCGGGAGTCTCGAATTTCGAGTGGCGGATCTCGAGCTAAGCACCGAGAATCATTGCGATAAGCCTTATCTCGACGTCGTCGTCTACTCGCGTGGATATAAATACGATATAATCGAGATCCCTCGCTATCAACATCCTCAAGGTCACGAGCATCGCGCAATTTACGATGAAACGTATTAGACTCGTAGAGTTCGTCTGTTGGAATTGCATACAACAAGGCGCGACCCATGTGAAAACGAACTTCAAGTGACATTGCTTTGAAAACATTTATGTTTATAGTTGACATTCGTTACTTTTATTTTCAATTTCATTGTTCATTTGATTTGGAATCAGAAAGATAAGAAGTTGCCATTGTTGGGTAAAAATATTCTCGCTATTGTAATTGATGGAACAGTCGGGCAGGAATAATAATATTAACTCCGCATAATTGATTACGACTAATACGAGATAAGGGTGAATGGGAGTGAGAGGGGGGGGGGGGGGGAGAGAGGGCGGTGGGAGAGAGAATCAGCTAATAATTTGGTTGTTTGGCTTACGTGTTACAGGACGCCGAGGTGGAGAAGTCGAGGCTGCCGTTCATCGGCTCGAGCTTCTCGTCGACGGCAGCTCGCAGTGGCGGCATTGTCGGGGGTGGCCTCGGGTCGAGTCCCTCCGGCTCGACCGATAGCATCCTTTCGCTACTGATCCCGGCACCGCTACGCGAGACTCTCTGGACGACGCTGGCCCTCTACCTGGGCTGGCGGCTGGTCTCGCGTCTGCGATAGGAGCCCAGTCGCTTCCCTTCGCGTTCGCCTGCGGCGAACGGTACGAAGGAGACTGGCCACGGGGGTTCGGGGCGAGCCGGACGTCGATGATCCTCGGACTGCCGGCACCGTGGGAGGCGCCACGAGTCGGGCACGACCCGGTAACGCGGCCGGCCCGCCTGAGGCTTTGATACTTAACGAGCCAACGGCGACGATGAGAGAGACAGAGAAGAGATAGGCAGAGAAGAGAAAGAGAGAGAAGAGAGAGGGAGAGAGAGAGAGAGAGAGAGAGAGAGAGAGAGAGAGAGAGAGAGAGAGAGAGAGAGATGAAGAAAGAGAGAAGAGAGATACTGAGGAGGTGAGTGAGTAAGGAGGTCGTAGAGGACGTCGACGTTGGCCAACATCATCATCGTCAGCGGAGGAGACTCGCATCGCCAAGCTTAACTTCCGATTGTTTTTTACGCTTTCGCTCGCTGTAAGGGGCTCGAGAAGTCGTATCCCACGTTAGGTGCAGCACATTTCAGCGTCGCGTGGTGGACGCAATGTGATTCTGATGAGATCCGGGCCCTAAGGCCCGCGGATGCGTTAGGCGAGCTTTCTCATTGAAAGTATCAGTAGGAAAAGAGAGAAAGAGAGGGCGGTCGAGAGCTATAGAGTAAGAGAGAGAGAGAGAGGGAGAGAGAGAGAGAGAGAGAGAATGAGAGATTTAGAAAGACCGTAGGGAGGGCGGGAGGGTGGTGAAACCACGACGACCACAAAGACGACTTTCTCTACATTTTCATATATTTTATGGTGCGGAGGGGTGGGTGGGTCGGCCATGGCAAGTGCCATTTCATTATTGAGGTTTGAATTTCAAATTACTGCGCTCTCTTTCTCTGCATTTTCTATTCATTTTCTTAAGATTTTATTCTCCTTCATTTTTATCCTTTTATTCGCTAATGATAATGAAAGGGAAAGCGACGGCGATTGGATGCCCTTGCGCGGCTGCGTACTGGACCGGAAGAGGGAGAGGTGTTTCTTCAGGATTATCGACGAGATGAATTACATGTATAAGTGAAATGAGAGAAAAACAGAGAAAATATAGGAACAAGCAAAAACAATAAGCGGAGGGGTGGAGAGAGCTAAGGACGAGATCCAAAGAGGACTTAAACCCAATAATCAAACGATGATCTCATTATGGATAACAAAGAGAATTAAATAAAGTTGTATGATTGTTATGGGAGAAAGAGAGGTTGAGCGAGAGAGAGAGAGAGAGATATGATAATGTAAAGTAAATGATGATTTATTAGGAAGGCGCGCGTCCCTTCTCAAAGCGTGGCTCATAGATCATTAGATATATTTTGCTTTTAATTGAAAAAACGGTGAGTGCTTGCCTTGATACATGCCAGCGATAGTAGTGGGAGTAAAATATACTTATATATATATACGTATATATAAATACATATAAATATGTAAGTAATTACCATGTGATTTAAAAGAATATATTATAAATAAATAATTGGTTAAGAAGATTAGACATTTATTTAGGAAATTGTAATTATGTTTAATCTTATTTAGTATGTAAAGTAATGATTCGTTAGTTAAAAGAGAATGACACAAGTATAGCGGGGAGACATAAAGAAAGGACAATCCGACAATCGCTGACAAGTATGAATGCGCCCACCTCGACATTGTACATATGAAATCGGGAGGATAAGGTTTTCCAAACTTATACGCGAGGAAATACGGGACGTCGATTGTGTATTTTGAGCGAATGAAAGAATTTTTCTATTATCATCATCGTGATCGTCATCGTCATTATTCTTATCATTATTATTATCATTAATATTATTATTATTATTATTATTATTATTATTATCATTATTATTATCATTATTATTATGATTATCATTACTATCAATATTATAATTATCAATATTACTATTATTATTATTATTATTATTATTATTATTATTATTATTAATATTATTATTTTTTTTTTTTCTTCAATTTTTTTCTTTCTCTGTTTGTTTTAATCGCAGGGAAGAGGCAGCGCGACGTGTAATTGTATAAATCTAAAGTAATAAAAAAAAAAAAATCAGTAATAAGTCAGAGTAATTATTTAAAGTAGATAATTGATATAGATCGAGGAGCGCAGCATCTGATTGGCTCGCTGCGCGGCCCGTGGACAGTTTTCAAATGATCTCCGGTAGCTTAGCTCTTAGTGGCGCCCCTCCTCCATGCGCGTGACAACGCCACGCGCGTTCGTATGGCCATTTTTTGGAGGAGTGGTGTCTTTTTCTCCTAATGCTTCTCTCGTATCTGTCAATCTTCCTTCGCCTTTCCTCTTCGTACTCTTCCGCTCCTTCTTATCGCTCATTTTATTCTTGTTCGAGCGTTCTTTCTCGTCCTCTGTCTCTCTCAACTCTCCTATCGTTGTTGTTGTTGTTGTTGTTTTTCGCCATTATCTCTCTCTCTCTCTCTCTCTCTCTCTCTCTCTCTCTCTCTCCTTCTTTTAACCTTCTAGACTTCTGTACCTTCGCCCATATTCTGCATATTCTGTCGATCTAAAAATTTTCTCTAAAAAGTGAAATCGTAAAGTAACATAGTTGGTGTCGACGATGGCTCAATCACTTAATGCCCCGTTTTGCCACGGGTACATCTTATTCCGCTTGGGGCACTTGTTCGCTCGCTAAATTAATTGCTTGGCACATCTAAATTTATTCTTAACGGCGAAAATATTCGAACATTCCTTTATTTGATGTTTCTTATTCAATTTGAATTCTTTTCTTTCTTTGTCTTTTTGATTTTGATTATTGAAAAGCCATCGACGGACCAAAACTTGTCTGTGTTTTTAACATTTAAATGAATATATAATACCAGCATACCATATACTTGTCTCTTAATATTCCAATGTGTAGAAGAATAGTATTTATTTAGATAATGTACTCCCGCTTCCACCCTCCCCTCCTCCACCCACCCCGCCCCCTTAAAACGAAGCAACTGACATTGATTACCCTACCCCTCCTTAGTTTTGACAGCAGCTTCGGTTCGCTCATAGTATCTCGTTGTTATGAATAAAATTCGTTTGTTCGCTAAATCTCTTTTTTCTTTTTGTTTAGTAATTTTTTTGTTTTATTTTTATTTTTATTTTTAATTTTATTTTTATTTTTATTTTTATTTTTATATTTATTTTTATAATTAAACGTTGCTCTCCCAGCCATATTAATCCCAGTTTCTCAATCACTACTGTGAGCTTTGACATTCTTGCTAATTGTTCTCAGACTCTTGCTTCGAAGAGTTGGAAGAAACAGTTTCCCGATAGGTATGAGACGTTGAACTTATTCTTTTATTCTTTTTATTTGTATTTTTGATCTTTTACGGCTTACTGGAACATTGTTTATTGAATTTTGATTGAATAATAATGAAGAATAACCAGGATGAAAAATAAAGATATAGCCAAAAAAAAAAAAAAAAATAAATAAATAAATAAATAAATGATAAGATTTTTCGCAACGCTGTCGAATCTCGCCGATAACTGACATAATACACGCATATAGTGACAACGCCTATAAAAAGGAACATTTTTCGCGGACCTCCGTTGGCAATGTTGAATAGAAAATGTGAAAGACCTTTGAGAATAGGGCAACACTTTTCATATTGAGATTCTTAACACGTAATAGTATGTATCGACTATGATTTTCCGTCGTGAAAGCCTACTTCTTTGGAGGAAAAAGAGGAAAAAGAGGAAAAAGAGGAAAAAGAGAGAAAAGCAAGCGAGCGTTAAGTCCCTTTTTCCGAGATTCGGTAATATTGGTGCAACTGAACATGGACGAAAACATAATGATAAACGAGGACGTGTAGTAGTAAACAATACGTGTCGGTTAAATATAAAATTACTATTAGAGGCCTGAAAGAAAACGAAGTAAGAAACTGTTGAAACGAGATAAGAGGTATGCGCTTGTAAATACAACTGCTTTCTTTTCTATTCATTTATGTTTTATATATTTTTTTTTGTTTTTTGTTTTTTTTTTTTTTTTTTTTATCTTAGGCACTAGAATTTTTGTCTTTGCACACATGCAGTCTAATTTTGTTTGTACTTTTTTTGTTTTTATAATTATTTTCTTATTTTTATGTCGATTATGTTTTTTTTTTCTATTTCTTTTTTTTTTTTAAACATATTTTTTATAAAAGCGTAACTAAATATGAAACCCTAGAGCAGTAAACAAGTAGGAACATTTTATAGCTAGTAGTCAGCCATATGGAGAACGTAATAAACTATGAATAAACATTGATAAAAGTCTATATATGGACATGGAAGGCTTATATATAAAAAGTGTGTGTGTGGGTATATATATATATATATATATATATATATATATATATATATATATATATATGCATACATAAATATTAAACGGTAAATTTTGGAGAAATCGCAATTATTGTTTTTGGAAATGATAAGAAGGTATAGGAGGGCGAGAAACGTGCGAATAGTGTTGCCAACTCTGTCGACGTTGATCTTCATTAAAATAGTAACGAGTTTAAAGTTGCGAAAAATATGCGAGATTAAAAAAACGCGCCTCGTCTTTGGGACGTTATTAATTCCAACCTTTTCCATAATCCATTCCCATGATTGGTTTCGGTAATTAATTGGATATTTATTATCATCATGATAAGTGATAAAAAGAATGTTAATTACGTGCCGTTGGTGAGGCGTCGACTCGAGGAGACGAACGACGAACGAAGGAATATAAGCTGTAACTGTGACTATGTGGATCATGGGGGTCAGGCTGTGCCCGAGATGTTACGTTTGTTTAAAATAAAAGACAAAAATAGCAGGATGGGTAGTTTTTGTGCGAATAGGAGGCATTTGTGGCGAGAATTTAAAGGAAACGTCAAAAATAATGAAAGAACACCGAAGCAAAAGTTGAAGTACAGCCCGCCCGCCCGAGATCCCCGCGCGTCAAAGCGTCACTGTGATCTCGTAATTATTTATAGATATATAATTATAATGAATAATCGTATTCAATATTGTAACGTTCCTCCCTCAATTTTTCATAAGCCTATCCAAACCCATTTATTTACGAATCCCCGTCAATACAAGCCATTACATTCAAGAGTATCGAAAGAGTCTACACGAGATTTGTTTATATAATACATGTCCTCCCAACAACCCCCTTCCAACGTTATCCCTAACCATTACCATTTTCTTTCAATTATAATATCCTTCACCTACCCATTA